TGTGGGTCTGATGCTCATTAATTATTCAGAATTTTAGGCTTTTAATACACTTAAACAGAAGAGTGACAAAAACATTCACCCCCCTCAGAGTTGTCATGAGTGTAAACTAGATCATTTAAACCAAAAACATGTTTTGGTACCAGGCTGTAAACATGTTTATTTCTGCTGTAAAATTGATATTTTTAACATGGGAGTCAATGAGGATGTGCTCGCTTCTGACACCAGCCCCAGCGGATGAGGGTGGAACTGCAATTTTTGTCACTTCCTGTTTTGCTTCATATCCAGACCCAAACTATGGGGGCTTGGGTGTGACACATGATTGTAAAACTTTACAGAAGAAACTAGAAATAAAGATGTGTGCTGATAACGTTTCTCCTTTGAACAACTCCTGCAGAATGATCTTCAAGCTTCACCTTCTGACATTTTCACTGGAGACTTTGGTCTAATGGAAAAATCATAAAATGTCACAAAAAAACAAGTCTGGCACATTGGTGGAACTTTGGAGATTGACAAGATTTTAAATTATCAAAAGGTGTTGAGGTAAAGTTTTTTCGTGAACATAATATCTTCATAGACCATGAAGCAAGACTTCTGTACGGCTTCGAGGAGATTCTGGTCAACCATCCGGTGTCTCAGGAGGGGAAAGTAGTCCACTACCAGCACTGTTTACAGTGGTGACGGTGTGCTGCTGACTTCTACGCGGGGCGTTGTGGATTTGTGGACAGAATACTTCAAAGGCCTCCTCAATCCCACCGGCACTCTTTCCAGTGAGGAAGCAGAGTCTGGGGACTTTGAGTTGGAACTCTCCAATCTCTGGGGCTGAGGTCACTGAGGTGGTCAAAAAACTCCTTACTGGCAAGGTCCCGGGGGTGGATGAGATCCCCCTGGAGTTCCTTAAGGCTGGATGTTGTTGAGCTGCTTTGGTTGACGTGGCTTTGCAGTATCACGTGGACATCGTGGGCAGTTCCACTGGACTGGCAGACTGGGATAGTGGTCCCCCTATTTAAAAAAGGAACCCGCAGAGTGCGTTCCAACTACAGAGGGATCACACTTCCGAGCCTCCCTGGTAAAGTCTATTCAGGGGTTCTGGAACGGAGGGTCTATAGGATTGTCGAACCTCAGATTCAGAATGAACAATGTGGTTTTTGTACTGGCCGTTGACCACTGGACCAGCTCTATACCCTTAGGGAAGTACGCCCAACCAGGGTCTCCCGAGCTGACCCCCTTAGACTTTTATCTTTGGGGTCATCTGAAGACATTTGTCTATGGTGTGAAGGTACGAGATGTGCAGCACATGAAACTACGGATACTGGAAGCCTGTGCTGGCATGCCTCCTGCAGTATTGCTAGCAGTGTGTGAAGAGAAGGACAAGAGAGTTGCATTGACAATCCAACACAATGGGCAACACATTGAACACATTCTATAAGTGGTCAGAAACTTGTAAATAACTCATGAAAGAATAAAGTTACGTTCAAACCAAGCACACCATTGTTTTTTTTTTGTGAAATGCCAATACGTTTGATGTGTCACATGACCCTTTTCCTACTGAAAAAACAAAAGTTGGATCCAAGATGGCCAACTTCAAAATGGCCACCATGGTCACCACCCATCTTGAAAAGTTTGCCCCTCACATATACTAATGTGCCACAAACAGGACATTGATGTCACTGACCTTTCCCATTTCCTTAAGGTGTGTTCATATAAATGGCCCACGCTGTACGTGTTTTGTAGATTTGGGGAAGGCGTATGACCACGTCAGTACCCTGTGAGTACTGGTCTTGAAATGTTTCCTGTGATTTTGTGACTGCGCAGGGCCAACTGCAGATAAAACGCATACGTTGAGTACACATCCAGTGGAAAGGCTGGGTAGCAGCTAATGCAAAATTAGCTTCATCATAATAAAACTCGTACTTTAACAGGAAATAGGACATCCGGATGTTCCATTAGCTCCATTAGACTATATTTCAAAACAATCTCAACTTTTTTAAACAAGCATTCTGTAGCTCTGTGAACAAATGGGGAAAAGTATAAAACGTTTTACACTTTGTAAAAGTTAAAATAATGATAATAACGATGATTCAATGCCAATTCATACACCCTCCATGTTTTCTTCCTATGTTTGGTTTATGTGCAGTTGACCAGAATGCCAAAAGGTTAAGCTCTGAACGTCTAGTTTGAATAATAAGGTTGACTTTAACCGATGAATTATTCTGTTATTTAATTTTTTGCCCTCTATGTCAGATTTCTGTGGTTCATTCTCACATATTAACATATGGACTTCATATTGTTTATATTACATTGTTATAAAATGCTAATCTTAGCCTGGAGACTCCTTTGTTTTTTATAAAGACGATATAAAAATTCACTCAATCCTGCAGTAAACACGTGCATTTTTGATGCTTTCTGTTCTGTTACACAGACATCAAGGTTAGAAGATCCTTGTTGCCATTTCCTTTGCGCTGCTGTAGTTGCAGGTGTCTAGGATAGATTGCCAGAGAAGAGTTCTCATGATACTTCAGTGGTAAAGAAGTGGTTAAATTTTGCAAAGTCGGAGGTGTCAGTGACCGGAGAGCTGTGCTCCATCCATAAAAGGTCTGACAGGCGAACAGCAAATCGGTTGAAAGCAGCTGAATGTGTGTTTTCAGCAGCGTTTCCCTGTGTGACAGGACAAGGGACTACTAGAAGACGTGTTTCCTATCAGGAAGAACAAGATGCCTCCGGCTGAATTTTTTCGAATGGTAAAATGATTGTAAACACGAGTAACAGAGAGGTAATAATTTAGCAGATGTACTATTTGCCACAGTGATACAATAAAACACTGTAGGGAGTGTTGCTGTGCATCTGGAAAGGATGTGTTAATTTTATTTATTTTTTTATTCTGAATGCGTTTCTCCAGTCGCTGCAGACCTCTTGTGCTTCAGTTTGTTTAGAATAATTTTCTATTATTTATGCACGCACGCCTTTCCCGTCGGGAATTCTTTGCAAATTAAAGGTTTCATTTGAGCCGTAAAACTGAGCCCTAATTTAAACAGGCTAATAAAAAAGTGAGGAATAGAGCAATTATTGTGTGTTTTGTTTTAGCGCTGGGCTATTTTGATCTTGTATTCATTGAATTGCATTTCCTGTCACTTATAGTAGAGCAAGTTGTGACAATATCACTTTATGTTCCCTTATCCTCTGCAGGATGTGAGCAATTCCAACTTGTGTGCTTTTTAAAAGGCGTCTCGTCGCATTACTCTTGGACAAGTACACAGGGCATTAAAAATGCAGTGAAACCAGGCATTGTTTATTCTCGCTTAATGGTATTTTGAGTAGCCCAGCGTTCAGAAATCGGCACTGTTGCTCTCTAAAGACTTGTATCAACATAAATAAGCTTCTTTAAGCTGTGCAGCAGCGCTGAAAGAGTCTGAGATTCCCAGGCTGTTGTTGAATGTTCATGTTGACTTTGGATTTTGAGCTTCAGAGGTCAGCTGAGATCTCAGATGTGTAATTATTTCAACTCTCATGCTGAGGTCAGGCTTGCTAAAAGCCTGTTAAGGACTTTTTTTTATTGACGTACACTTGCTGTAGGAACTGATTAATTAGTCATTTATTAGGTCATGTAAAAATCACCAATCAGTTCATTATAAATCTTGCCAGCTCTGCAAAGATTATACCTTTTCAACATTTCCGTAGCACACACTTACTGCACACATTCAACTTGATTATAAACAACAAGTATTACATTCATCGTTTCATTATTGAGTATTGTTTCAAATCCAGATCTAAAGCAAAAACTAAAAACCTTCAAATAGGAGCCTAAACTAAATGTTACAAAGACTTTATGAGTACCTGATGCAGATCATTACTTGTTTGCAGTACGATTTATGGTTACAAATAATGCCCAAATTAAAAGTATGAGTTAATTTAAACATACTGCTAGTTTTTGCTGCATATGTAGCCTTCTTAATACGTTTTCTATTAAAAATGTTCAGTTTGTGTGGGCGGGGCTACGGAAAGAGGAGTAAAAAAAGTCCCAGAGTAAGAGTTTCAGACAGATGAGACAGGGGAGTGAAGCCAAAGTGTTTTTGTCCTCCCTCTTTTTTTTCTTTTATGGTTTTCATGGGTTATGCTTTTGTACAGCTGGTGGATAAGTCATTTTTCCATGTCAGCATTTTTTTTGCTGTACATGTATGTTTTTTAAGTTAACAGTTCAATGAGAGCCATCTCTGAGATTTGAATGAAAACACAACCCTTTCTCCCCCTCATGGTCAGTGATGTGTGGAAGCCATTTATTGTGAAATAAAATGTACGTAAGTGGATGTTGAACACAATTGGCGAATGCTGCGCAGCACTTCATCTAAATTGCGTGAAGCTCTACAGGACGGGGGCGGGCATGTGCAAGACTATCACCTTTATGGCTTTCTAAAAATTCCTACATAAGTCCTGAATGGGAGAAAACTCTGGATTGCTGCTTTGAGTTTCATTCATTAATGACCTACATTTTAAAAAATATCGTTTTTTTTTTATTGGAAAACACACATCACTGAAAAAAAGCTAAATAATCTGCAGGCGTAACCCTACGTAGTTAAAAATCTTGTTTTTCCAAAACACTTCCATCATTAGGATAGAAATATAATTCCTAGATTGCTACTGTAGAGTAAGGCAGGGTGACTCAACCCTCCCACTGTCCTAATGGGTGTGACCCCGCAAGGAAAGTTGACCATTGAGCAGGGTTGATGGTTTATCCCTTGGGTCCATGTGGCAGGGGTGAGGAGAGAGCACCTCCTCACCCTTGCCACGTGGACCTCAAGGCATAAACCATCAACCCTGCTCAATGGTCAACTTTCCTCGCGGGGTCACCCATAAAGGCAGTGGGAGGGTTAAGGTATAGGTTTGTTTATTTATTTGGTAGACGCTTTCATCTAAAGCGACGTGTAATTGTTAACCTATAGGGCATGTTATGATCTGGGGGGGGGGGGGGGGGGGGACCGGAGGAAACCCACGCATGCATGGGGAGAACATGCAACTCCACGCAGAAAGGCCACAGCCGAGTTTCGAACCTGCAACCTTGTTGCTGCAAGGCAACGGTGCTAACAACTGCACCACCATGCAGGTATATATGGATAAATGTAGAATTACATTTCTGTAACATTTTTATAACTTCTCTTTGATTTTAACACTTCTACTTAATGACTACCCTAACCGTGTATTTTCAGATGTAATGTACTGAACCGTAGGAACAACTTAATGGCAAAGCAGAACTTTTCTCCCTCATTTCATCTGAAACAGCTGGGAACATTTATTCAAACAATTTTGACAAAAAAAATACTGTTTGCATGAATAAATGCTGCATGGAGGCACAGTTGGCTAGCACATTTGCCTTGCAGCACTGAGGTTGCAGGTTAAACACCCAGCTGGCACGTGCAGATCGTGCATATTCTCCCCGTGGTCTCTCTTAAATTTATATCCTTTCTATAGAACTATTCACATGGCTCACTCACATACTGGAAGACCTTTTTTTTAAATAACTCAGTTCATTTAAATGTTTGTGAATCAAATTGTAAGAAATGTGTATCTCTGCGAGAGATTGGTTACAAAACTATAAATAAGATGATTGTAAAATCATTGAGACATAATTTAGACAGCCTTGACTAAATTACTATTATAAAATTTGCACAAATATGCATAAAGCACCCATCTACAAACGTTTGAGAACCAACTTTAAAGGTATATTTTGCTAATGTTCTTTGAGTGCCTCACAGCAGTTTTATTTAGTTTAATTTTGTATACAGGTATGTATGTACGTATGTACACGTGTGGTTATCTATGTATCCATGCTTATGTGTTTATATTTACCTGTGTATATCTATATTTATAGATATCGTTAATTTTACTATTATTTATTTACTTTCCTTTTCTTTTTTCTTTTTTTTAAGTTTGTTATAACTTTCTAACTCTGGCACCTTATTTGTTATTGGTTGTGTTGTAGGAGGACCTGCTCAAAAACGAGATGTTACATCTCAAGCAGTTTATCCTCCTGAAAAACATAAGTTAAATAAATAAATAAATACATTTTAAATCATTTTCTTGAGCTGTGCTAAAACAAGCCTTTAAATGTCACTCAGACTCCACCGCACCCTGTGGCCAGAATTCCGCACTTGCAACTTCAGAGTTGGTGAGACACTCCCTGTTGGACTTAGTAAAGTGGAGCTGACATGCTGGCACTGAAGTCTTCTCACTTCACATAATTCCTGCACATTTTAGATAATGAACATTTAGTGATGAACTGCTCCTGTAGACACTAATGAAGGCTGAGAAGACATTTCAGCTGTTAAATGAAGGTGTTAAAAAGAAAAAGGCACGACGAGGAGAAGAGTTTCACTTTTGGTTTCACAACGAGTTAAAATGAGGCGCTAAAGGCAAGCCAAAACTGCTGAGTTTCCCTATAATTTAGAGTTATTCAGATTAGTAAGAAATTGCAAATAATATTGTCACAGTTTTTAACATTTAGTGGCTCAAATTAAACAAAGAATAGAAATTTGACAATTTGGTTTTGAGCAAATCACCGTCCAGTAAAATACTGATTTAAGTTGGCCCTAGATGTGAATTTGTAAAAGATTAGCTGTCTCTGTGCAGCCCTGTGGTGGATGGCAGTCTGTCTAGGTGTAGTCCAGCTCTCACCTAGTGACCGCTGGACAAAGGCACTGGCTCCTGTTGACCCTGAACAGGAACTAATGGATGTAGAAAGTGAATGGATGTGTTTTAATTTTGTTTAGGGTTCTTTTAAGGTGTAAATCATTGAAAAAGGGTAGCGTTCCACCCACATTTAGGTGAACATGTGTTCTATTACATCAAACTTGTACATTAGGTTGGGCCTTCTTTCACTAACCAATTAGCATCCCTGGTCATGGTAGGATGGTAATTAGTTGCAGTAAAACAACTCATCCAATAAAATGTCCATCTGTTCACCGTTAGTCATACTTTACCCCATAAACAAAAGTTGAATTTAAAGTAACCTAAAAAATGACGTATTCATGGTTATAGTTGGAAGGATGTTCCAACCGACCAAACACATGTAGACTCTAGAAACTGGACCTCATAATAAAAAGTACAGTGTTTAGGTTCAGGCACATGGATCGTGGTGAATTTCTGCTCTCTGGGTTATCGGCCTCCGACAGCTCTGGCTCTCTCCGACGGCTGCTGCCGTCACTGCAGCGTGCATCACACACTTGTCAAAGCACCTCTCCTCCACCCACCCTCTTTCCGCTGAGAGTCAACACCACGGTCTCACCACACATGTACGTACGTGCTCGTGGACACCCTCACAAGACTGGTATACAGAAGAGCACGCGCGCACACGCGGCACACTCGTATACAGACACGTTCCCATTATGGTGACAAATCCCGCCTGAGCTGGCTCCCATCTGTGAGTAATGGTGCGGTGTGTTGTACGAGTCAAACTCCCCCGTCATCTGCCTTTCCCAGATGGATCCGCGGGGTGTCCAAGGGCTTTATCTGGTGGCCAAGATTGTAAAACGGTTTAGATCTAATCCTTGCATAATTTGGTAGGAAAACACAGAGAACTGTTATGTCTGAAGAGAGCACCTTCACATGCATTGGGGTCAGGTTTATCGTCATGACTCGACTGGCTTTAATCCATTAAACTATGACATAACCCCTCTTGGATCTTTGCCCTGATCCCCTTTTGTGTGTGTACATTTCACCCCGTCTTTATTTTGACCCCATAATGAGATTAACACCAGTGGCACCAGCACTTAAGTATTGCTTTAAGCTCTGCAGGGCGAGCCTTCTTCACCGGTTACTCTCAATAAGGCTTTGGTTACATAATCAGAGTCTCGGATCTAAATTTAAACAATGACACATTAGTGACGAATAGCCTGGTGCAAGAGCTTCTCGTAACGTGGCAGCCTGGTCAAGGCGCCTCCAATTACATAAAACGTTTGTTTTAACTGACAAGTTATGGTAATTACTGTGTTTATTAGACTGTGTGGAGGAACTTTCCATTAAAAATGAAGTTGCCAATCACCAGTTTACAGAACCTCCATGTTTATGAGTTGAAATAGTTTTTCCCAGCTTTTGATTTTGGAATTAAAGTGATAATAAGCTTCATCCTAAAACTGAATAAAATTAAACGTCAGATTTTCATGTTATTCCCATTCATTCATTTGGAAATCCTATTGTCAAATAGTTTTTCATTTTAAAAGTAAACCAAACAGAACTTGGGTGAGAGGAAACTCTTTTATTCTGTTTTCTCTCTCCTTGTCCCATGGTGCTTTGTTTTGTTTTTTTCCAACGTAATACTCAAGAGAACCATTTAGAACCAACGTTCATGTTTTTCTTCCTTAAAACCCTGATCTCTGGTTCTGTGGGACCTACGTGACACAATACAAGAGCAACAGAAACTCACATATAGACAGTGTAAAAGGTTTCTCATTTGACTTTGATAGAACATGCTAGAAGCATTTTGATGACCTTTGATTTATTTCCTGTAGAGATGACGATGATTTATCCAAAGTCCGTTTTCTTGTTATTCATCATTACCTTTTCAACTTTTATTGATCAGCGTTCATGAAAATGCCCCGTGTTGGTGTAGATTCTCATTCATCCATGACACATCAATTCTAAGTCTATAAAAATGTTACATGATGGCAACTGGGTTTATTCTCTTGTTGATAGATGGTTTACCTCTCATACTGGATCCTGGTATTACTGTCATGATCAGCTCCTGTGTCTTGTTGGTGTTAATTGGTCCCACCTGCCTCTCATTCCTTAATCACCTGTGACCTCTTGTGTTTCAGCCCTGTCAGTTTTGTGTTGCGTGTCGGATCGTCTGCGTAGCTCTGTTCCAGGTCTTTTTTGTTATTCTCAGTTTCTGACGTCTCCGCAAATTAAAGCGACTTTAAACCTTCTACAGCGGTGTGCTCTCACCTGCTTTGGATCCAAGCACCCTCACATCACAACACTTACCCCGGCTTTCCACTGGATGGGTAAGCAACATTTAACACAACTGATGCATTTCCACTGGATGCATAAGCGGCACGTAACGTAATAGATGTGTTCTTCCTGCAACCTCAGAAGTGTGTCCCTTCCCTCTGCGTTTCAGACGCAAATTGGTAGTTGGTCCCTCAAGGTGCTTGTCATTTTGCTAGAAGTTGAATGATCTGATGAAGTACTTGCTCAAACATTGTGTACTTAGAGATTTCAATCAAATCAAATCAAAGATACTTTATTAATCCCAGAGGGAAATTAGAGTTTCAGTACACACAATTCTGAGATCAGACATACATGGGTAAGACACATGACAAGAATTGGTGACCGTGGTCATTCGCAACCCTGAGTCGCGCTACCTTATAGGGTTGTCACGGTATGAAAATTTAACCTCACGGTTATTGTGACCAAAATTATCACGGTTTTCGGTATTATCGCGGTATTTTTTAAACGGTGTTGCATATGTTCAGAAAGCATTGATAGTCCTGTTCTACACAAACTGAAATAGTTCTGAAAAGGTTTAACAGTGTTTATTAAACCTAAAATAACACAAAGCCTTAGCAAAAGTGCAACTTTTCACAAGTAAAGGAACAAATAGCTTATTTTTCTGGAACTTGTTACAGTAGTCAGTGCAGGTTTAAATGATACAAATCCAAACATTCGAAACATAAACAATATGTAAACAAATCAAAGAAACACCACTTGTTTTCTCATATACTTGTTTTCTTCATTATCAAAATGAAAATCTAAAACTCCAGTCCACACTTGACTTGAGCACTGTACAAGTCAACCTTAAAAAATATGTATTTAAAATAAATATCCACTTTAAACAAATGACTAAAATAACTACTACACTATGTAATCAAATCCAAATGTTCAAGTATAAATGGCATTGAATAAGTAAACAAATCCATGACAAGGAACTAATTGTATACTGTATTTCTCTTCATCATCAACAAATAAGATGCTTCATCCAGCAACAGGGTGTCCGTGACACGGTTTAAATGCTGGCAGAGGGCGCTGCGGCTGCAGTATATAGTGACTCGTTGCATTCTCCCTCAACCAAAAGTCCTCACGTCATGCATTTCAGCTAAAATGCTAATGTTAACTTACCTTGCACTGGCTGTAGAGACGTGGGTGATGGTCACGCAGATGTGCCATTAGATTTGAAGTGTTGCTGCCTTCTGCAGACACTTGTTTCCTGCACGTTCTGCAAACGGGATAGCCGTCTTCTATTAACTGTCCCTCAGCATTTTTCAGAAATCCCAAATATGTCCATACTTCCGATTTAGTCTTCTTTGAGGGCTGATGGATGTCCTGGGCGCTGCCGTCGCCTCCTTCGGCCATTATTTCAGCTTCAAAGTTTTGGTGCCGTTGCAAATTAAAAAGTGCGTGTGCGCGCAGCGGGAACTTCAGCTGAAGCGACGGTGGCTGGTAAGGGTCATCGCGCCGAAACCGCGGCCACGGTAAACCCACCGAGATAATATAGTTTTTTAAAAACTGGACGGTTATTTTTATTGTCAACTTTTTTACCGGGGTTTACCGCTATACCGGTTACTGTGACAACCCTACTACCTTAATAGAGATAAGAGGGGTTTATATGAGGATTGGTTCAGGTGGAGGGAAAAAAAGCCACTTCAGAGCTACCCTCCACTGGGAGGGCAGCTTTGCTATGCAAAAAAAAAACACCTCAAACATATATGTAACAGACTTCAGACATTACACAACATAAGTGTCCACTAGGTGAGGGTGGTGGGTTGGGACTATCCACACTTCAGTTCCTGCAGCCACGATAGAAGCAGCGCATGTCACCTCAGTGTGGATAGGGGAGGAGCATTGAGGGTTGGAGGGTTGCAGTGACCCTGGAATGTTTCAGCGGCCTTCCCTCATTCCCGCCCAGGCTGGGATAGGAGACAGAGTTGAGTCGCCATAGCGATGGCACTTTCCACATATCTTCTGAGGGGGCAGTTTTCTTTGGAGCCTTGCAGGCTCAAGGGCGCCAGATTCTGATTAGAAATTGTTTTGGGGCCAGACAGAGATAATTTCCTCTCTGTCTTAAAGTTCTTTGGTCCTCAACCTCCCAAAATCCCAATAATGGACATTAAACTATCCCAATCCGTGCTGATTCGTCCCTTCTATCCTTGATGGCATCCATCTTCTGTGCCAATATCTCGGCCAAAGTCCCAAGCTTACGATTCATCTCGACAATTATGTGAGTCTGTGAATTCACAGCGTGGTGCAAACCATCTCTGAGCTCCGGGATCAGGCCAATATTCCTCGACAGCTCGTTAGTTTTCCGGTAAGCCGGGTAGCCTCCAATGCCGATCAGCAGAAAACCCGACACCAACTAATGACCATCTGTTGTTAAGGTCTTACTTTAACACAAAATTACAGCTTTGCTTGAAATAGGGAGCCTAAGTCTCGTCCCTTTCCAGTCGGCTCATGGGACCCTGGAAGAACGAATAAATGAATGCAAGTCAACGGAGCAAAACATTTTCTAACCCACTTTGCCTTACGGATATGTTGTACTGCACTTTAAGTGAAAAGTAATGATGGGTGTTTCGACCACGCCATTCACGTACTTTGAGATTTATCAGCCTGTAAAAGTTTGTAATTTGCATTACTACAAACTAGAAATCGGCACGTCGCATATGTGACATCACCACATAATCTCCTCTCCACAAAGGAGCTGCTACTTACCATATGACCAGATTTATGGTGGTCCTTTCCTCCTGTGGGAAGTTTGCTGAACTTACAGCCCTTTTCCCTGAGTTTTCTCCGTGTCAGTTTCGATTACGTCACTTTCTTGATGCACATTTGTAGTCCTGGACTTCACACAAAACGTAAAATAGCGTTTCCCCCCATTCAAAAATAAGCGTGTTCTTGGTATAAAAATGTGTCTTTAAAATTCACGGACATCATATGTGAAATCCATGGCACAAAACAAGCTCAGTGGCCTAGTGGTAGAGTGTCCACCCTGAGACTGGGAGATCAGGGTTCAATTCCTGGTCGGGTCATACCAAAGACTTTGGAAAAAATGGGACCCAACGCCTCCCTGCTTGACACTCAGCATTACGGGGTTGGATTGGGGGGTTAAACCACCAAATGGCTCCAGAGCGCGGCTGTGTCTGCAGCTCACCGCTCCCCCAGGGGATGGGTCAAATGCGGAGAACAAATTTCGCACACACACCTGTGTGTGTGACAAATGATGGGACTTTAACTTTAACTTTAAGACAAGCGGAATTAGAAAATAGCGTTTTTAGCCACATTGACTTGCATTCATTTTCTCGTTCTTCCAGGGTCCCATGGTCCAGAAGTAGATGGGTGTGACTTATGTTCCCTATGATTTAGGTATTTAGTGACCCCCCCCCCCCCCCCCCCCCCCCATCACCAGGGAAAATACACATCAATAATTTTATTTTGAAAGTTACCAGATGCTTTACACTGCTCATGTGTTTGGCTTCTCTTCTGGCCCGATCTAAACTGCTGAGGTTGATTCGTTCTGGAACCGTGTGTAAAGTACAGACCTGAAGCGTACACTTAGTGGAGCGACGTGACATTGTACTTGTGGGATATTTATTTATTTATTTATAAACTCATTTTTAAAGAGGATTAAACCTCTTGAGATGTACCATCAAACAAAAACAAAGCAAAAAACTGAGTTAATATGAAGAGACATCAGAAACATTATTGACAAAATGAAGAATTAACTGACATGGCGCATCGTAAATCTAAAGGTGAAAATTCAAAGCATTTCTGAAAATCAGAAAGAAGCCCAGTCGAGTATGTAGAGAAAATATAAAGTGGGGGTTTAAAAATGTCCTAGACGCCCCACTTCACAGCCAATGGAAACCAACCCATCCACTATAATGGTGGCTGTTAGCTGCGTATGTCACTTCACAGGGGATTATTAATCCAGTGGAAAACTGGGGTTATAAATTATTGTAGATTAATACACACAGATTAGAGCAGTTAGGGCGAGGCGTTGAGCCACCCTCCCATCAAGAGTGTCGTTATCTCCTGTTAATTCCTTCTGAATGGTTTAGATCACATGTTCCAAGGACTGGTTGTGAGTTCCCGTCCAAGATCAGGACTGAAGACAACTTTTCAAGCAAGAAGACAATTTGTCCAGTTGTCTTTATAAAAGTATTTTCACTCTCACGACCATGTTCCATAAGCATTGTGATAATAAAAAAAACATTTAGTGTTTAGAATATTTTTGGCCTTCAACCGCTAGCTGTGGATTACAGTAAATTCTTGTATTTGAATGAACTGAATTTTGGCTGCCAAAATACAGTAGGGCTGCTTTTTGCCAGCCAAATCCAGACTGAATACCAAACAATTTGCATAAAAACAAAGACGAGTTGAAGGAGCCAGCACTAAAAATGTCAACCATTGGCAAATTGGGAGATTATTCTGCATAACGCACACATGGTGGAATATAACAAGTACGTATATACTTGTTTTAAAGGCCAGCCCACACCCACATTATAAGAGTTTAGGCATTAATTGATGAGTCTTTATAAAACTCCTAATTTAAGTAGTTAGGATGCCTGTGTTTGTTAAATTGTGCAGGTTTATGTCCCCAAATGTGTGATTGATGCAAAAATGTAAAGCCAGACATTTTTATTATATTTTAATCCTGTAAATGTGATTATTTAACCTTGGAAACCCGCAAATGGTTGTCATTCAACATCTTTCACAGTGTCTGTAAAATTTATTTTATTTTACTGCATTTATTTTGTTTTATGGTGGATTTGTCACTTACCCACACAAAATAAGCACTGTATGTTTGCTCAGATCCTACACTAGTTAACAGGATTTATCGGTTGAATAGAAAACTATTGATAACACAAAAATAAGTCGAGTAAATAGCATCATGAAGCAAACGCCTCACATTATTTTCAAAAGCATCCGTCTACCAGCACCAGCTGATCTACACCCCAGTGCTTTATGGAAGAAATAGTCATGCCACACTTGTGGAGATGTGTTACTTCGT